AGCGGCGGGGTCGGCGCTGGGCCCTGCTGAATCCTCCAGTACGCGCTGCAGGGCTTCCAGAGCGCGCCGCCGTCCCAGTTTGCTGTCATTTTCCAGCCCTGGCAGCAGACGGCCCAACACGCGGCTCAGCTCCGCCGCCTCCGCCAATTCTGCGGGGCCTGCGGCCCCCTCCGCCTCTGCCGCCATTTTGCGCGCGTTTCTCGTTACCACGGCAACTAGCGCTCTTACGACAGCCACTGCGCGAATTACGGCATAACTTCCGGCCGGCGCGGCTGGAATAGCGGTTTGCGGCAGGGCACGGGCCTGAGGGCTGGGAGGACCTAAAGCGTGTGGCTAGTTGTCGGGCTGGAAGCGGGACTAGAGGGACCTCGTCTGGGGTTGGGACTTGGGGTGAGGAGAGAGCATCCCGGACAGTTCGCAGTTAGAGGCTGGGCAAGGGCTTTGAGGGCGGGGCCGTGGGGCAGATCACACTCCGGGGCGGGGTTGCGGATGGTTCTAGATCTTCTGAGATGGGGTTCTCCTGTCCTTGGGGCTCGACTCGGCAGAGGGACGGACTTGCTTTTATGCCCGCGCAGCGTGGTGTCCCCTTTGTCCCTTGTCCCGGATGGGTGTCCACCTGCTCCAAAATGGTGGAAGGCAGCGGCCGCTCTGGCCAGGCCTCTTGCTGGAAAGTCTTTGCCCGCGTGTCTGTGTAGACAGTGGAGGGGTGGGTTACTCGCTGTGGAAATCTAGGGGTCCCTTCACCGTTCCGCAGTTCGGGTCCCACCTTGCTTTAGGTCACCTGCTGCATGCTCAGCATTGGTCCCAGCAGGGAGAGATACGCAGGAGGCAGGAGACAGGAGACGGGGCTTCCCACTGTGAAAATGTCCTTAATTTTAAGAACTGGACTGTTTTTCTAATATGTTGTTGACACTGGTTTTCTAAAATGTTAATGTTGTGTCGCTACAGTGGTCCCAAAACAATGACCAGGAAAGAAGGTTGATCTCAGTCTGTAAGGGTGTCCTGAGAAAGTGATTCCAGAAGTGAACTCCAAGGAAATGTAATAGTGAACTAGGTCAATGGGTTGGAGGCTGGAGAAAGAGTTGCAGATAGAATTGCCAGCCAGGGGGCCTGCAAAGACCCTCTGGTGGGTGTCACTGGATGGATTTGGGTGCTTCACACTGACATGTTAAAGTCCTAACCTCTGTTTCAGAATGTGGCCTTGTTTGGAGACAGGGTCTTTGCGAGGTAACAACGTTAGGATAAGGTCACTAGAGTGGGCCCTAATTCAGTGAGACTTCTGTCCTCATAAGGGAAGTTTGTGAGTATGAGGATGTCCATCCACAGCTGCCCAAAAGGCCAGGAAGAGCCCACCTTGTTACCATGATGGCATCCTGACTTGGACTCTAGTGCTCAGGACTGTAAGGCACTGTGTATGTAGTGTGAGTTGCTGCTGACCTGTGATCCATTGTTCTGGTAGCTGCAGGAGCCACATAAGGGAAGGAGGCTGACAGTGTCCCAGGAAATGAAGCAGAACAAAGCATCCATTCTCCAGTGGTGGAAAGGGGAGTGGCAGGGCAGGTTGAAGGTGGAGCTTTGGAGATCAGGTCTGAGTTTTTTTTAAGAAACACCTGACTGCTGTTTAGGACCAGGTTGGGACCAGCCAGAGAGGAAGGCAGTGAAGCTACGACATTATGGTCAAGACCAGTGATAATACATGCTTAAATGAGCAGAGCAGGACTTCCTTGCTTTCTCCACCTAAATACAACTGAATCTGCATGTAACAACAGCCAACAGAGGAAGGACCTGAGAGCTGGAATTAAGACACTGGCTAAGGACCCAGGACTGGAGGACAACATTACCAAGAGTCCCTGGGTTTTCTTTTTCTCTTCTACGTACCAGTATTGCTGAACTGGGTACCACAGAGTCCTGCCAGCAGACATAGACAAATCTTCAAGGAAAATATCCTTTCTGACTGGGAAAGGGGATGCCAACCAAAGGCCTGTTGAGGAGCTCTAAACTCACTTTACAGTCTGCCCCAAGATAGCTAAAAACTAACCCTGCTCCATACCACACAGGGCCTGAGACCGCCTGGTCCTCTGCTGTGGCACATGGAGACCCACACACCAAGCAACCCCAGGCATCCCTACAGCTGATACCAACAGGGATGAACACTCCCCCTCTTCCTAGTGCCAGAGGATAAAGCAGACCAAGAGGGTGATGCAAGGGCCCTGAAGACAAAATCCACACTGGAACAAAAGTAAGCCAACATCTATACACTAAACTCATTAAAGTGGCTACCTACCAGCATAGAATTAAATGGAGCCAGGTGTCCGAGGTACATTTGAAAATAATTTGTCATACCAAAAACCAGGAAGACCATGATATGAAGGATGTCAAAGCACACATAAAAAGATGCTTTAAAATAGAATTACCCATAAAAAGTAATACACATTATTTTGAAACAAAAAAGTGGGAAAATTTAGCAAAGAAATAAAAGTTATGAGCAGCCAAAGAGAAATCATAGAATTTGAAAAAATATAACAAGATATCATGTCCATTATTGGAAGCACAGTGGAGATGATAAAGAAACAACTTAATCTATCAGCCATAGGGAGAAAATAGAGGGGGAAAAATGAACTGAGTCTTAGGGTCTTTAGTGTAATAATTCATACACCAGCATTCCAGAACAAGAAGAGTGTGGGGCCAGGGATTTAGCTCGGTGGTTCTGCTGCCTGCCTTGCAAGCCCAAGGACCCAAGTTCGATCCCTGGTACCAAAACAAGAAGAGAGAGTGTGTGGAACTAAAATGTATTTAAAGAACTAATGGCTGAATACTTCTAAATTTGATGAAAGACATAAATACACAAGTTCAAGAAGCTGAGCAAGGCCTCAAAAGATTAGCTCTCCAAAACGCCATACTTGTACTTATCATAGTAAACTTGAAAACTAAAGCAAGGAAAAATGTCAGCCGATATGAAATGATGCATTGCCTAAAGAAGGACACACCTTTGATTGACAGTAACTAATTCACATAGGCCAGAAAGGAGGGGCCCTTTATTTTCAGGTGTGCAGAATGTCACCTGTGAATTCTGTTCAGTAAGATGTTCTTCAGGGGTGAAGGAAGAATAAAAGATGTTTCAGAAAAAGACAAAGCTCAGGGCTGGGGATTCAGCTTAGTGGTTCTGGCACCTGCCTCACAAGTACAAGGACCTGAGTTTGATCCCTGGTACCAAAAAAAAAGTTTATTGGGCTGGGGATTTAGCTCAGTGATTCTGCTGCCTTCCTTGAAAGTGCAAGGGCCTGAGTTTAATCCCCAGTACCAAAAAAAAAAAAGAAAAAAAAAGGCAAACCAGCATGACTTGTTGCTGACAGACCTACCTATGAGGAATGCCTAAAGGAATCTCCCTACATAGAAAACTGAACTAGGAGATCGCTGGGGCTTTTAGACACCAAGAAGGTGTGGCAGGAAGGATGGAGGCAGAAATCAATATAACACCCTCTGCTATAGCTTGGTACAGCTGAATGTCTCCCATGCCTTGGGTGTTGAAATGTAAGGCCTACTGTGAAGTTTCAAGAGGGTGGAAATTTAGCTGGGCCTGATGATATACACCTGTAATCCCAGGTAAGCCCCAAGAGATGGAGATAGTTGGAAAGAAGGGAAAGGAAAGGGGAATAGAAAGAACCAAGATATATTAAGTTCATGTACTGTCTAAGATGAATGTAAACTATGTACTGGAAACACTAATAAAAAATACATTTTAAAATATAAGGTATAGGCCGGGGATTTGGCTCAGTGGTTCCGGCGCCTGCCTGTGTTCTATCCCCGGTACCAAAAAACAAACAAAAGTATAAGGCATGAGAGAGAGAACAGACACAAAATGGTAATCAAATGGCAGACTCCACCCTTATATGCCAGTGATATAAATGTGAATGTTCTAAACAAAATGTTGTTCTAAACAATGCATAAAAACCCACGACGAAAGATGCTGTCTCCTCCATGCCTCAGATGTAAAGATGTAGATTGAAAGTGTAGAATGGAAAAGGTGTGTCATGTAAGCATTACTTTTTTAAAAACCAAGAGGGCTAAGGATGTAGCTCAGAAGAGCAGTTGCCCATCCTGGATAAGCCTGGAGTTTTAATCTCTAATACTGGAAAAAATTAAAACAACAGGAGTGGCTGTATGTGCTAGAGCAAAGGGAACTTGTGAGGACAAAGGGAATTATGATGATAAATGATCAATCCACCAGGAAGATATGGCAGTCAAGTGTGTGTCCACCTAACAATCTTCACAAGAAGTGAAATCTAGGAGCTAAGTCCACTGTAACAATCAAGGACCTCTGCACCTCACTCTTAGGAATCACTGGAATGATTATAAATGGAAGCTACCTTCAGCCAGTAGTAACATGGCAAAAGATGTAAGACTATCAAAGACAAAGAAATTGAGAAGACTGTCAGAAAACAAATGGATTGCCTTCACATAAACAAGACTGATTTGTGTTCACTTTCTGTCTGACAAAATACTTGAGGAAAATGAAGAAAGGCTTGCTTTTGTTCAAGGTTTCAGCCCACAGCTGGCTCTATTGTTTTTATGCCTGAGGTGAGACAAAAAATAATAGTAATGGTGAAAGGAAGGGAGAGGTAGAGGAAGGCTGCTTACCTCATGGGAGCCAGGAAGCAGAGAGAAAAAGAGTATATGCTAGCTGGCTCTCTGGCCCATTTTGTATATGTATGTGTGCACACGCACACGTGTGGTAGTGAGGGTTGAACCTAGGGCCTTCCCATTGACCTACATCGAGGCCCTTTTTTATTTTTGGACGTCTAAGTTACCCAGACTAGTCTTAAATTTTCAATCCTCTTGCCTCAGCCTCCCAGAGTGCTGAGATTATGGGCATGTGCCACCACACTGGTTCTCTTGCTTTTGTTCTATCTGAACTTTCTCCCTACTGGTCGGTGCTGTGATGTTTTCTACTGGGACACAGCCAGAAGTGCCCTTATTTCCTACAATTTTTCAATCTAATCAAGTTGACAAAACTATCACAAAATTGATACAAGTTTAATCCCATAAGCAACATATTTATTGACTTAATTGCCCATCTAAAGTAAAAATTGACAATTTTTTCCAAAATCAAATTATATAAAAAGTTAAATCCAAATACACCAAAGACAGTACTAATAAAAGTAGGAACAGAAATGCATGAGGCATAAAAAAACATGATAAAGATTATCTAAAGAGCCAAGGTTTTGTTCAAAAGGAAAATAAAATTGGCAAACCCTGTCAAGACTGACAAGGTAAAAAAATTAGCACAAAACCACAAAAGATTGTGAAAGGGGTCATCACTACAAGTCTAAGTATTAAAAAGATAGAAGAATAATATAAAGGAATCTGCAAAAAAGTATATGAAATAGAGTTCTAGGAAAACATAATTTACTAAAACTTGTACAAGAAAACAATAGAAAACCAGAAATGTCTAACACTATTAAAGAGATTAAAATTATAATTTAAAAGCTTCCCACAATAAAACCTTAGGCCCAGATGGTTTTGCTGACAAATACTTCAAACATTTAAATAAATCCTTGGGCCTTGAAAGCATAAGGTCCTGAGTTTGATCCCTGGTAACAACAACAACAAAAAAGAATGAAAAGAAATAACGCCGGCCAGGCATGATGGCACACACCTGTAATCCCAGCACTCAGGAGGCTGAGGCAGGATGATCATCAGTTGGAGGTCAGTCTGGGCTGCATAGTGAGTTTAGGGCCAGCCTGGACTACAAAGGGAGGCCCTGCCTAAAACAAAACAAAACAACAGCAACAACAAAAACCAAAACAACTCCAGAAACTGGGTGTGGTGGTGCATCCCTGTAATCTTAGCTACTCATTTGACTGGCAGGAAGATCACAAGTTTGAGCCTGGTCCAGGCAATTTAGTGAGACCTCAAAAAAGAAACGGGCTGTAGCTCAATGGTAGAGTACTTTGCTAGAATGAACCAGGCCCTGAGCTTAATCCCCAATGTCCCAAAATAAAGCCCCTCAAAAAACAAGCCCCCAAAACTTCAAATTTTAGCCTCTTTTAAAGAAAAGAAACATTTCCCAACTCTGGGAGGCCAGCATTGTAACTTTGATCTCAAAGAGTGACAGAGACATTACACAAGAGGATTGTTATGTAAATCAACTTTTATCTAATATAGATGTAAAAATCCTACACAACTTTAACAAATTAAATCTAGGGGAAATGAATTTCAAAACAAAATTGAGTTTATTCCAGGAATGCAGGTTGACTTCACAGAGTGAAATTTACAATTTAAAATTCAAGAAACTACAAAAATAAAATCATTTCATAAAAGGTAACACTCATAATAAAACATTTAGCATATTAAGAGTAGAAGGGAACCTCTTTAAGTAAAAGCTACAAAATTCCCACAACAGATACATTAAAATGAGGTAGTTTCCAGGAGGGCTGCCATACCTGCAGTTCCTCCCATCCCTGCATGCACACAGTGCCCTGGCCCTGGTGTAGATCATGGGCCTGCAGCGGCCTTCACTGAGTGTGGCAGGAAGAGTGCATGGCCACATCCATCCTGTGATTTTCAGAGAGCTGGCAACCACAGGAGGTAGGAAGGAGAGCAAGAGCAAGTGAACAACAGAAAGCTGTGGGGCAAGAATTAAAACCAAACCAGGTCAACTATGTCTAAATATTAGAAAGCCTATAGATAAAGGTCACAATGTCCCTCAAAGACTCCTCAGACGTGCATAAACCCAAAAGTACATGCCTTTGGCCTTCTTCTAACATTGTTTGCAGTGCATTTTTCACCTCCATCTCCACCCCAAGTGGGATTTGGAAGCCATGACCCACTACTCTGGTCAAAAACTGCCCCTCCTGACAGGTGGGCTGAGTCACGTATTTTGTTGGACCTTGACTCCTATGAATCCCCAGCTGTGGGCCCTCCCACAATCCCAGGACTTTAAGAAACCCTGCCCCTGGGAGCTCTTCACGTTGGCCTGCTCCCACCCTGGGGAATGTACTTTAACTTTCACTTTAAATAAATCTTCCTCTTGTTACTCCTGAGTGCCTTATTCTTTTCTTTGTTCGGGATACCAGAAACCTTGAAACAACCCCCAGACCTTCCATCTGGTCACAGCATCACACTCATCAGAATGGCTAAGGTCCAAACCAAGAAGATAAGTGTTGGTGAGGACATGGAGAGATCTCTAGCTCATCTGCTGGGAATTCAGGAAAACATGCTGGTTGTTCCCCAGAAATGAAACAGGGTCAGTGACCCTCCACCTATCAGCTCCACGTGCTGAAGAGAAGTGAAAGCTGGGATCAAACTGACAGCTGTGTGCTCACTGGTTGCTTTTTGGTTTTTGTTTTGCTGTTCCCAGGATTGAACTCAGGGCCTTAACTGACACACTAAAACTATATCCCTAGTCTTTAAAAAAAATTTTTTTTTAATTTTGAGATGGGGGTCTTCTGAATTTGCTAAATTTCCCACGATTTCCTCAAAGTTTGTCACTCTTGCCTCAGTCACCCGGAGTGCTGGGTGCACACAACCACACCTTGCTTAGAACTTCCTTTCTAAGGCTGAACCATATCCCATCATAGGGAAAGACCACATTTCGGTATCGATTCACCACCTGTGGATGCGTGTTTGTGTGGTTTCCATATTTGACTGTTGCAAACAGTCCTGCTAAGAACAATGAGTACAAGCTGGGTTTGGTGGCACACACCTGTAATCTCAGCACTCTGGGAAGCTGAGGCAGGGGTATCTCAAGTTTGAGCCCAGCCTGGGCAATTTAACTGACTTTGTCTCAGAATAAAAAATGAAAGGGTTGGAGACGTAGCTCAGTAGGAAGGACCTGGGTTCAATCCCCAGTACTGCAAAAAGAAAAAAAAAGTTTTCACTCAGTGAATTTAGCCAATCAGAAAGTTGAACACCATGAGTCCTCTTACAGGTGACTGGAGTTGTTGACACCAGAATTGTTGACACTGTGGCCTGGGGCTCGACTTTTCTTGCAATCTTTGATGTGGAGTCTGTCCCTGCGGCCAGACCCCTCCAAGGATGAGATGGTATATTGAGAAAGGAAAGAGGGAACATCTCTCCTTCCCTGTGTGTTACCAGAAGGGCCTTGCTGAAAGTGGGGAGATGTTTTAACTCTGAATTAAGTTTATGGTTTTAATATTTTGCAGTACTGGACACTTATGACTGAGTTGACACTGGGTTTGTATCTTAACATAATTATGGAACTTTTAAACTATCCATGTTTGAGTCACAATGTGACAACTCTGTACATTGATATCTGTCACTCCCTCCACTGCATATGTTTTAGAGAATCACGAAATGCAGGTTCCAAAGGATTCCCAAGTGTTTTCCAGGAGTCTTGCCTAACCAATGTCTTGGCTACATGTATTAAAAGATGCATCGTTTAAGCCAGTATAATAAACTAATTTTAGTAAATAACTCTTGGTTCCTTCATTTATTATTTTATTTGACAAATATTTATCAGGCGCAGGACATTTCCAGGCATTCTTTTCAGTGCTGAAGGATGTGTCAAGCGGGCACAGTAGCTCCTCCTCCAGGAGTTGGTGGCCCAATGTGAGACAGTAGGGTCAGTTGAGAGACAGATGGCAGAGGTGGGACCTGAGGACTGGGAGTCCTCAGCCACACGTAGAGGTGGGCAGTTGTTCCTGGCTAGGGTCATGGCCCTGTGGAGAGACATCAAGAAGCAAGGACAGGGAGAACATGGGACGGTCTCTTGAGGCTGTGAGAAGGTGTGGATGAGTCCAGAAGGACACAGAGATGCAGTGGGCAGCCACAGAGCCGCTCATCTGGACAAGGAAACACACAGACTGATGCACTGGCAGGCAGTGTGGGTGGGTTGGGAGTTGTTTTGTGGGCAGCACTGGCCAGGGTTGAGGGGGAGGGAGCTGCATGGAGGACTTGCAGGTGTCTGGCTCACATCCCTGGACAGATGGAGTGTCCTTCACAGAGGCAGAAACACTGGCAGATGACCGGGTCTGTGAAGGAGAGCACATGCCTGGTGTTGGGCCTGATGGCCTTGAAGTAGGTTCTGCTTATGCAGTGCTGCTTAAAGAACCAACCCCATCAGCGGGGCTGTGAACAGCTTTATGAAGTTTGCAGATTCGGTGGGACTTGATGTCCATGGGGGAGTAGCCAGGGACCTGGATACTGGCCGCTCTTGGGGCCACCTGTCCATGCTTGGCCCCTCTCCACAAGGGCACTCTGGGCTTCCTCACAGCGAGTGTCCCCAGAGGAGAAAGCAGACAGGGCTGCAGTGACCTTTATGTCTGGCTTCTGGAGGACACGGTGTCACACAGCCATTCAGGCAAGCACAGGCACAGCCTTTGCTCTTCTGGGGCTGGTGGCGTACAAGGCAGGGTCCTGACCTGGGTGACATATTCATTCCTCCCTCAGGTGGTGTCTCTTGGTGGCAGAGACAACTGTCACACTGTAGTGAACCAATCACCATGTTCTGCTGGGGCAGGGAGGGTGGTCACCAGAGTGGTGGAACCAATCCATCCTGACAAACCTCTACTCCCACTGCTGGGCATCTGGTAGAACCATTTTTCTTTATAATACATAGCAGTACATAATATTTAGATTCATCGCTGGGAGTAGGAACACGGACATATCACACCTTAATACTTTTTATTCCCCTCCCTCCCTTAGTCTCTAGATCCCCTTCTCATTTGCAAAAGATCTATTTCTGTTTCCTGTTGTGTTTTATTTTGTTTTTTAAATTATTTATACTTTAAGTTTCTGATGTAAGTTATGATATTGAAGTTCACATGTCTGATTTATTTCACTTAACATTTTGGTCTTAAGTTGCATCCAATTTCCTACAATTGACTCAAATTTACCCTTCTTTGTAGCAGATTAGTACTCCATTGTGAATAAGTAGCACATATCCTTTATTCATCCAAGGGTGGACATACAGGCTGCTTCCAAGATTTAAATATTTTTAGTTGTGCTGCTATAAACATGGGTATGCATGGGTCATGTTGAAGCCATTTTCTGAGGCATCAGAAGACTGGGATATGAGGTGGATCTTGATGCCCCAACCCCTGGTTTACAGCTCAGCTTCTTCAGTCTTTGTAAGTCAATGACTGCCTCCCATCTACTTTAAGGCTTCCAAGAACTTTCCAGAGGTTGTGTCATAATTATTACTACCCCCTACTACTACTGTTACTACTACTACTACCATTATGCTTATCATCATCATCATCATCATCATCATCATCACTTTACAGCACTGGGAACTGAACTCAAGGCATTTGCACTGGGCTATATCCCGAGCCCTTTTTTACTTTGAGATAAGGTCTTGGTAAGTCTCTAAGTTACCTATGCTAAGCTCAAACATACAATCCTCTTGCCCCAGCCTCTAGGAGGGCTGGGATCACAGTCACACTCCCAGTTTAGGTTTGTGCCTTTAACAACAGAATATTGCTACTGTGGTTTTAGTGTGCCTGTAAGGAAATGGTGAAACTCATGAATGTTTTAAATTTTGCATATTTTTGAGGCAGATTTAAACATTTTAACAGAGGAAATTAGTGAACTGATTTTGAATGGGTAATATTTGCATGTGGTATAAAATTAAAAATACATGGCAGGGGATTTAGCTCAGTGGCACCATGCCTGCCTTGCAAGTGCAAGGTCCTGAGTTCCAAAACAAACAACAAACCACTCAAGGACCCAGGAACTAGTGAGTCTGTCTTTTCCTCTCATTCAGTTTTCCGCCAGAGGCTACCTCTCTGTCACTGATTTCTGTAGTGTCTTTCCAGAGATATTCTGTGCCTGAATAAGTAGCTTCTCCAATGCCCTTGTCAAATCAACATTTTCTGATTTTGGAGTTTTTCATCAGCAGATATTTAAACAATAGTATCTCTGGGTAGATACAATTTGCATTCTCATTTCAAGTGAAGTTGGGTATCATCATACTAAGTAAATTAACTTCCATGTGATATATATTGTAAACATCTGTATCGTGTCTGTCTTTTGGGTTGTTTTATGGGGAAATTTAAAAAATTTTTTTCTGTAGTAAAATATACCAAGTTTTACATTTACGGCATCTGGATTTTGTATTATGTTTCAAAAGTCCCTTCCACTCCAACATTATACACTTTCCAACTATTCTTCTATGACTTTCGCAGTTTCCAAGTTTGTAATTAATTTTATGACTCATCTGAATTTTATCTGTGTAAGGAGGGACCATACTTGCATATTTTCTAGTTGGCTTCCTAGTTATCTCCAAACTTTTGAGTTCTTTTTCCCAGCTGATAGACAATATCACCTTTATTAAATACTGTATTTGGGTTTATTTCTCGACTCTGGTTCCCTATTTGTTCTCTCCCATGCCAGACTTGTGCTATTTTAATTTTTTCTTAAATGTTCACATATAGATTCACTCACTACTCACACACTTCCTCTTGCAGCTGTCTTCTTTTCTTGCTCCAATCCAGACTGTAACTGAGCTTCTTTTCCTCGATTCCCCGCTTGGTTCTCTGTGGCTGTGCAACGACAATAACAGACTCAGTGACTTGAAACAACACTCTCACCAACTCCTGGTTTCTGGCGTCTCCAGGCCAAGCTGGCCGTGTCCTCCAAAGGTGGGGATCGTGCCAAGGCTGGGCCCCCTGAGGATCCCACAGGGACAGTCCCCCTCAGACTCACGAGGTTGTTTACAGTATGATTTCCTGCAGGCTATCTGATGTGCCTCTCTGCTGATGACTAGAGGCCAAGCTCAGCCTCTTGCTATTTACCCTCTGCACACCAGCTCACACATTAGTTAGCATCTTTAAAACCAGCCAGGGACAAGACTGGTGGCGCTCACCCATAATCCTAGCGCTGGGGCAGGAGGATTGTGAGTTTGAACCCAGCCTAGGCAATTTAGTGAGACCCTATCTCAAAATATAAAAGGGCTAGAGATACAGCTCAATGCAAAGGTCCTGGGTAATCCCTAGTACAGGAAAAACAAATGGAACACCCACATACCCTGGCCAAGGAGAGTCCCTAGCCAGATGGACATTATGATCCTATATAACCTAATCTTGGAATGCATGTGCACCGTGCCTCTGTCACCTTGGCTGTGTAGGTCTTTGGTCAGATAAAAGTCACAGACACTGCTGTGCTCAGGGAGGGGCTACTGGGCCAAGAACCCCCAGAGGCTGTGGTATCATGGGGAGCAAGGCCAGGATCCTGCAGCTGTCTTAAAGTCTGCCACCCACACCAGGAAGTGTTACCTAGCAAGACTTCATTGGAATCTGCATCCCAAACCTACAGAAGGGGAATATAAATAAATAGGAAAGAAAGAAAAGAAGAGAAGAGTAAGACACGGCAGTCTGCCTATTTGGTGTTTTCAACATAATAAAGAAGATAGAAATTAAGCCAATAGGTTTTATTTATTTAGAGAAAGGCTCTTGCTAAGTTATCCAGGCTGGGCTCAAACTTGCAGTCCTCCTGCCTTAGCCTCCCTGAGTGCTGGGATTACAGGTGTGCATCTCCATGCTTGGCTTCAATAGCTCTTCTGATGAGAGCTTGGAAGGCATTTCGGGGGGCACTGAATAGCCCTCCAGGGTTCTCAACCTTGGGGAATTTCTCTGCAGAAGTAGCATTTAAGCTAGAACTTGGATGATGATCAGGAATTTGATGAGCAGTGTGAGGGTTGTGACAAGAAAGTAGCTCCGAGGTGGAACTTTGGGGGCTTTGAGCATAACTGGTCATTTGATGGTTCTAGAGTTAGGTCTTGGGGGAAGTGAAAGCCCTAGAACTGGGAGAGGCAAATACCTCTGGAAATGTTTAAAGAATCCCCTGAAGCACTTAGGGTGGATCCTCCCCAGGGTGGACGGGGATATTCCCCAGAGACTTTTACTGGGACTTTTGAATGTATGATTGGGACTTCAGTGAATAATTACGGAGACTCTTGAATGGATAACCGGATCACCAGCTGCATGTTTTCCTGAAAGGATGCAGCTGTCTGGGCACCCATAAGAGCCAGAATTTGTCCCTGTCAGGAGGGTGGTGGCCCACGGCAGGTGCTCACATAGTGTGTGACCCAGGCCAGTGAGGGACATTCTTGGCTTCCTCCATTTAAGGGAGTGGCCACTGATCAAATAGCTTCCTTGAGTGATCTGTGCTCACTAGACATTTAATGTATGGGGATCATATACATCTGATCAGGGGATGTATCCATTTCCATGTTTCAGTTGCAACCAACAAAAAAATAAAGGTATTTATTAGGCTAAATGGGGAGAAGCCCAGAGCTAAGGACAGCAGTGGGTGTTTGGGTGTGGCCATGAACCCAGTCTTGGTACCTCTGTCTCTTTGTCCTTGAAGATCCATCAGACAGTGAATGGAATATTTGCCGTTGCTCAAGCCACAGCCAGGGACAAGGAGAGGCTCGGAGGTAAACAGAGGTCTGTGGGCTCATTCACAGGAGGGAGTCTGGAGAGGGGCCTACTGTGGGGACCTGAGTAGCCTGGAAAAGTCTTAAGTGAGAGGGTGGCGGGAGCTGCCTTCACAGTGGGGTGAGGAGAGGGGCTCAGGAGAAGCCACCTCTGAGTGAAGCCTGGTCAGGAGAGGACACAGTCCAGGGGCTCTGTGCCAGGAAAGCTGAGCTCTGTGCTCACATGGGGATGCCTCGGATAGGTGGGCTGTCCTCTGAGATGAGCCAAAGAGAGTCCCCCCACTCCTCCCAGGACAGTCCCTGCAAGGTACCACCAGAGAGCTTCAGGAGATCCCACAGAAGGAAAGCTGGCCCTAAAGCACTCCATCCACAAAGCCAGAACACCCTCAATGCCAGGTGTCACCCTCTGATGGACCACCTAGAGGAGCCGGCAGGAAGTGAGGAGGAGGGAGGGGAGGACGGAAAGTGGCCCCTGAAACAGCCTTGGGTTTGAGTTGCCAGTGTAATGTGAATTTTGATTCAGGAGAGACAAGGAATTCCTGAAAAAGACCCTCTTCCAAGAAAGGTGTCCGTGAACAGGGCAAAGGCTGGGGCAGCCAGTTTCTTGTTTGGCTCCTGAGCCAGGTCCCCCGTTTGTTCTTCCACTAGTGGGGAGAGGCTGGGCCGAGGCCCAGGTGAGTGAGGCGACAGATGAACACGGACCAATCAACATGGACAGGTGAGGGGGGAGGTGAGGCGGGTTACCTGTGGATGGCTGAGTATGCACAGGTGTGTGGGGAGAACAGGTAGGGGACAGGTGAATACTGACAGGTCAGTAAAGACAGTAAAGACAGTAAAGACCTGTCCTGCCCACCTGTCCTCTTGGGGTTGGATGCCTTGTGTGTGGGGAGACCTAGTCTGTTCCTGGCAGCCAGGGCCTGTGGATTAGGAAGCTATGAAGATGACCCCCCCCACGGTGTAGGGGTGCCCAACGAACAGGGTGGGGGGTCCCCTGGCCATGCTAGGCTCTTCTAAGCTGAAACCACAGTGCGGACAACTCTAGGCTCCCACAGGGGAGAATAGGTGGTGAGATTTGGCTGAGGGGGGTGGGGTCCGCGAGGCTCTGGCCTAAGAGGGATCTGG